TAGCTATAGCCTCTGCTTTTGATACCATGACCACCACAGGTTATGAGGAGATTGTTTGGTATGGGCTCTTCTTCCACAGATTAAAAAAAGACCCACTCTGAATGTTCAAAGGGAAATTCTCCATGCCAGCTGATGCGGTGCTGCCTCCTGACTGCTGCAGAGCCACTAAGCTGTAGAGCTGTTGCACAGGTAACCTTTGGACATCAAATATTTCCTAATTAACCCCAGGGGCTTCCTCATGTCTCCTCAGCTGCCAGGCTTACAGCTACTCCTGCTCTGACAGAGGTCACCTGGAAAAACTAAGGGAGTGGCAAGTCTTGAGTAGCACCAGTACAGCAGTCTGGATGAGAGAGGGATACAGATGGTCAGGGCTCTGAACCATCAAGGCTTACTGATGCTCTAGCAGTGTAACATAGAAATGTTCATCATCCAGAGGCAAATGGATCTCCTGTGGGGTTTCCTGGGGAATGTCCCTCAGGCTCCATGATCCCCAGCCCAATCTGTGAATCCAGGTCCTCCCTGTGGGCACCGGAGAGAAGTGCCTGTGTGCTCTGCCTGCAGTGGCTGGCAGCAGCTTGGCCATGCTGCCTGCAGGATGACATCCACAGTCCCTGTCCCTTTGGCAGCCAGTGGCGAGCCAAGCCACCTGTGGCAAGTGCCACCTGTGGCAGGTGCCACCTGCCTGCTGTGGCACAGTAAGAGTCACACAAGGAAGCCGAGAGTGCTGGGTGGAGACAATACGGAGACAATAAAGGAGACAAACCTGGAGGAAGCTGGTGCTCAAAAAGCAGTGCCTTGGTTTCATTCCTTCTTCCTTTTAGACACACACAAAGGTTGGGACTTCATGCTTCTAAGCTGATTTCTAATACTTTGGATTATCATTCTTCTCACCAAAGAAACCTGTGCTGCTACCCTGAGGCACACCTTGGCACACAATTCATTGCTACCCAGCTTGGCAGCATTGTCCTGCAAAGGCCCCTCAGCCTCTGGCCCAGCAGAGCTCATTTCCCTCATTTGCCCAGGGGAGGTGGGATGGGCAGCGTCTGCCCCAGCGCCCAGCACAGTGCCCTGCTGCCAGGCCAGCAGGCAGGAGGGCAGGGGCAGGACCTCCACATCAGCTGAAGGGGGTGGGGTGCAGTAAGAGGCTGTGGCAGGCACCATCTGGAGGCACTGGCCTGAGGCACAGGAGAGACGGGGGATTAGTGCTTTTCAATGGTGAACATGTGCAGAAGAAAAGGGCACGTTACTGGCCAGACAAGAGATGTAGAGGCAAGTAGGTGCTGTTGAGGGAGGCTGGTTTTGATTGGTTTGATAGTTGCCTCTTTCCACCATCACTGGTTTACTCATGATATTCATAGAGCATATCACAATGTCACCCCCCTCTAGTCACCTACTACTCATACACTCCCTTTCAGACTGAAAACAAACAGAAAACCCTACAAGCTTGGCTTGGCTGGCGCGGTTGTGCTGCAGCAATCTGATGGGTGGGGCAAGATTTTGAGCACTGTGCCAGTTACACTTCTCACCTCTGGTGCCATTTACCTCTATCACACACCTGCCTCTACCAGTAAAATGAATGCTGTAGTAAAACACAAATCGATCACAGGTCCTCACTAGTAAATGAAACCTGTGAATTTGAAACATATTCTTGAAATTATTGTACCTCATCTGTATACAGAAGTTATAATTATTTGTGGAATTAAGATGCTCAGCAAAAAGCAACCATCTCATTCCATTAGTTGTGGGTGTCTAAAAACCATACCCTCTGCTGCCACAGTGACTGCAAAATCCCTTTCTTATGCTCGTCCTGACAGAGATTCTGTGGACTGCAGAGCCAGTAGCAGCCTCCTGCCCTACTCTGAAAGCTCTCACGTTCATGAAAGAAGAAGTGTGCTTTAGGCTTGGGTCAGCTGATTTAACAAGCGAAAAAAAAAAACCTTCTCCAATCCTCAAAAATATTTTTATTGCTTGGAGGGACATATATGAGAGTTTGAAATGTCACATGGTTAAATAAAACATTTAGAAACTTGAAATACACTCATCACAAGAACAATACATTGTAACTGCATATTAACTTCAGAAAAAAGAAAAAAAATAAGTTGGTAATACAATCACAAGAGCTATTTCTTGAACAAGTATCAAGCAATAGAAGCACGAACCGCAGTCAACTCATTTTAAGTGTTCACTGGACAGCAAGACTGAAGAAAAGCTTCTATGAATTCCTGGAGCTTTTGAGTCCTGTAATTATTTCCTAAATCATGTAGACTGACTATGTTAGCTATATTAACATTTTAGACAAATGATCTGGAAAAATAAAATACAACAGAGTAGTGTGTGCACTGAGGGGAAAGAGGAGGCCAAGCAACTAAACTGTTTTGATAGAACATTTTCAAATTAATTTATCATTTATCTGTAACAACAGTTGCCTTTAGCAGTGCTTGTTGCAAATTACAAGGTCATTAGCTTTCACATGCCCTTCTGAGCAGCAGATAATTAAAGGCGTATCTAAAGCAAACTGAAAGCCTGATTTTCGAATGGAGAGCTGTGCCTGGACAGCAAAAGCATTAACAACAGGGTACAGTCTGAAACGTCTCCATTACTGCTGGTACCAGACTAACTAAAAACTATACATCTGTGTCTACAGATGGCATAGTCGCATCTTCATTCTGCTTGCAGACATTCCTTGGTTCACATGGGTCTGGTTACTACCTTTCAGTTATTCTGACTGAAGTCAGTCATAAATCACACCATTCTGGAGGCACGTTTGACATGGTTCTGTTCCCTAGAATGCCTTCCTGACTATGAACACATCTGAATTTACACAGAGAAAAAGCTTGTGCCTGTTACATTGACAATGGTGCACAGTACTAGTGCTGGAAAAGGACAGTAAGAGGAGGCCAGTATTAGGGTAATTCATTAGGGCCATACTTGCTCACTTACAAGCCACAGGAACTTTCTAGACCCCTTCAGTCACACATTGGTCATCTTGAATAAATATGGTCACCTGAGAAAGATTATATTTCCTCTTGTATACTGACATTTTGGTTGGACTTGTAAGACATGGAAAGTTTAGTTAAGTTCAGCTAAGCTAAGCAAAGAGATCAACCAAGGAAACACACGGACATTATGTGAGGCTAACTTTGTCTTGCAGATGTCCTACTGCAGACCATTTTTCAAATGGCTCCTCAGCTTAGTTTACAGTTTTGGCACTCAGTATATCACTGACAAGAAATATGACAGAAATTTCAGAACAAAGTCATACAGTCATGGTACTCAGTGGAAATATGATTTTTGGCCGTTTTTACAGATCCAGAAACTAGTGGACACTTTAATTACTACATTCACTATAAAAGGAAACCCCATGATTTTATTTATAGTGGACATTTCACTCTGTTAGAAATTTTGTATTCACACCTTTTTTGAGGCAGTTTACCAGCAAAGAATTGTGCACATAAGCAGATGAAAGTAAGGAAAGCATGACATGGAAATGCTCATGCTAAACAGCATAATAATAATTGCATGTCCTGCTGATCAGTTATCTACCTTGCTATAGCCTTACTAGCTATCAGTTAATTTCACCTATATTGGACTAGCAAACTATGCAGGTTTTGCAACACCAAAAGCAAATGCATTAGAGCAACAGTCACCCTGAGATTTTTGTCCATGTTTCTGTAAATTTAATAGAATGACATGGTATGATACGGAAGGATCATATTCCTCTTTATGAAGCCAAAGATCACCAGAAATACAATGCTACCTCAACTCAGACAGGCATGTCAGCAATGGAAATCTGCTAGGTCCATCTAATCATCTCCTCAGTCTCTGTTTTGCATGCTAACCTTGACCTTTTGCTGGTAAAAGTCCTCTGTTGAATCATCTAAAGACATTTAACAGCGATAAAAAGAGCAACACTTCTCATGTTTAACCATTTACTGAAAAAAAACCCCAAACTTTACAAAGGTTGGGAGACTTTTCAGAGATATGAATGGGAGGTAGACACCTCATTTTAAGGTGTTTTGAAGGCCTTTCATAATCTCCCTTAACATTTAATGTGTGGCACTTGAATAGTTATTAACTTGTCTAAATTCCAAAAATATGATGATGGTATAATGATTATGGTCTCTGTGTTCTATCCAAAGGTAATAAAGACAGAGGGACATGAGCATATATAGGCACCTGTGAAAACACTTGTAAAAAGATAAGAACTTCTGCTTCAGTTTTGTGGAAACAGGGCAGAAGAATTACTGCATTTCCCCAGCCATCTCACATCAGAAGATCAGGAACAAACCCCAAACACCTATAACCATTTCCTCCCCTCTATCATGACTAACCTGGTTTTCTGCATCACTGTAACACAACTGTATTTCAACCATGAGGAAACTTTGTCATGTGTAGTCCACACCCAAGAAAAACAATCATAAACTCCAATAGAAAGCATATCATGACACAATAAGGTTAAAATTTCAAGTTGGAGTCACTGTAAATTAAGTGATCTTTAAAAAGTTCTCTTGAAATTATAACTTAATCCAGAAAAAATCTTGTACCATGTAAAACTGGAAATATGTTTGCTAAACACTATGCCTCCAAAAAATAAAAAAAAAATAAGGGATTTTCAGAAAACTTAAACACTTGACTATCTCCTCTCCTGCCAACCAGAATGCTCAAATTATTGCCTCAGAGTAAGCAGTCCATATCTTACCAAAAGCCATTAAATAGTTTTTATCTTATCCTAATAATAACAACAGTAAGTTTACTTCTGTCTTCTTTTCATGTACCTTTCCTTTTAAAGGCCTACGACTTAGTGTTCACAAATTAAAAAATATTTGTAAATACACAAAAATAAAGCTTAATAGCACACAATATAAAAAATTATAAATTTCAAACCCATTACATTCTTATTATTGAAAAGTGCAGTATGATTAATCTGCAGGTCAGAAATGCTTTGATTGTGGACATAATTTCCATGATTAACTCCTAAATTACGTTTTTCATCTTCTTAATTAAATAAGAAATCTTTCATCCACCAAGGTTTTGGATGCCAAATTCTTCTGCCCAAGTGTATTACGAACACACCTAAATATCTAAGAACATTTTAGAAAAAAAGTATTAACAAAGAAATACTTAAAGCAGTATGTTTCAATATCTAACACAAAACAATAGCTTCATGTTATCTTTAAATTGTAAATAATATGAGTGAATTAGGTGCTTAACTCCCTTTAGCACTTTGGAAACATTTCCAACATCTTCCACCCTGAAATATGATACTATTATGTGTGATTAACTTTAACAGATATTTGTGTTTTCTATTGAAAGTTACTTATAGCCTCTTTATTCATGACAGGCATGTGAATAAAACTAATTTCTCACAAACTTATTTGACAAAAAACTAAACCCCCTGTTTTATAAGCTCTCAGTACAATCTTCTGTCACTGCATATGGTTAACTTACTGCTTTAATTATCTATATAAACTATATAATTAGATAAACTTTCATACTAACCCATATTGTAAAAATATCACTTTGCTCTTAAATGGAAATTTACCTCTTGTTGCAAATATGTTAGAATAGCTGCTAAAACAAAACTTTGGGAAGCCAGATCCACGATGGAGAAAAAGAGGATATCAAAGATGAGCAGTGTTGTTTCATTGCCATAATAAAGCACATCACTGAAAGCGAGTCATTCATCTACAGAGAGAAAATATTTTTTAAAAATGATTACTTCTGTGAAGTGCAAGTTTGTGAAGTTCATCATTCTATGCTGAGAAAGTCTGAGGAAGAGCTAGTTATGCATTCTGTGGTGTCGTAAGAGCTCATTATGTCATTCCATTTAAGCAAAATAATACAAACTCCTTTACATACAAAATGGCTTAATGTAGATGGGACACAATAAGAAAAGCCCACCTGCCACATGCAAATTTATCCACTACTGAAATCCCCATCTGATTGTTTGAAAAAGGCTGCTTTGAACAAGAAGTAGATAGAACTTCCTTGACACTGAATTTTTTATCAAGTGTTAACTCTGGCTCCAACTCAACAAAATAATAAAACTATATGTTTAAAGCCTTACTTAGGAGGAGGTTCAGAGCTTAACATTATCTTTGTTCAACAAAGAACATTGTCTTTGTTCATTATCTTTGGTCAACAGCTTCCCAGAAAATGGGTCTGTTAAGACCCATTACTAAATAGCTTTTTAAAGCCAAAGTAGTCTAGACTACTTACTACTTCCTTATTTTATCAAAAAGCACCACTTTCAAAAGAGAAAATAACACTTAATTACAGGAAACGGATTTTTTTCGTTCTTTCTACTTTTTCAGAAAAACGTCTAATTCAACTTTTATTGGAAACAGCATATTTTCATTACAAATTGTCTGTGTCTCACTGCTGTGAAATCCTGATTTGTATCTAAGCTTCTGGGAACCATGGCTGTCTAAACTATCAAACAATATATATTTGATATATCATCAGTGCTTATGATTATGAACCTTGAAACAATGGCAGTCAAAAGACCAAACCTTTGTTGAAAAAAGCACAATTTGGAGATATCACACCATGCTTATACACTTAATTCTAACTCGGATGGCTGAGTAGACCTGGGGTTTAGAACAGTGTTTTGGAGTGACAGATATTGCGAAGTGTGGAATCACAGACTGAGGCTGAAGAAAGTCCTAGTTACAGTTTTAAGGCAGATACTGGCTATCTGGCCACATTTATTACTAAAATAGAGCTTCACCGTGACAGGTGAGGAGAGCCCCAGCCCCTAGTGAATTAGGTGTAGCTCAGACATCAACACTGAGCAAACATATCAGACTACAACCACGGCTAGTTTGAAAGCACATGCTGCATTTCTGATCCTAGAGCAAGGTCTGAGGTTCAAATCAGGCTTCAGCTTTTGCAGCGCTGGCGTCACAGAGCAGGAAAGTTCTGCACAGCTGAGAGATATACAATAGCAGTCTGCAGATTACAAGAATAATTTATAATGAATAAGACATTTTTAGGATGTGTAATGGTCATCTGGTAATATCTATAGATTGGATTTATGGTTCTGATAATGTTTACAGTTTCTGAATAGTGATGCTGGAGAGCTAAGTACTTGGACTCAAAATGAGGGCTTGCATCATCTTGCATCACTAGTTAGTGTTTAGTTTTCATGCAGGTGGTGGCCATATTTATGTCTAGGAGTACAATCAGAGTCTGAACTAAGATTCTGGAAGATAATTTTTTGATGGATTCTGTCCAGCTTGGACTGAGGAAGCAGACTGTTCACAGCTCATGTTTCAATGGAGTGTGAATACTGGTCCACCAGAGGAGGAGATCAGGACTCAGGGATTCAGAACCTTGGAACTGGAGGACCTAACACTGGATGAAGATTCCAGTGATGTAGGTAGTGGTCACCTAGCAGTAACTATGCATAGGTTAAGGTTTTTAGAGTCTTGGTGTTTCACAGCATCAGTCTTGCGGGGATTTTGATTTAGGAACCTAGGCTGAGTCAAAAACTTTCACACATGTAATGGTCATTTGAAAATACTTATGGCTAGGATTAGCATGGGCTTGGGATTCAGGATGAATCACTGGAGAACCCAGGTCTGACTGATTTTGCATAGCTCCAGGGACCAGAATCAGAACTGGTGTTAGCCCTGTTTCTGCTGGAATATACATTTTTGGTGTAGGTATTGGCAGTGCATAAAAAGTGTCAAAATAAAACATTCAAGAATCCAAATCACTTAGAGGAGTCTGCAAAGGTGAGTGGTGTGTTAACATCAAATATTCCACTAAATCATCCTCACTGTGATGAATATCCTCTTCAAAGGAATTGTCATTCTGCACTTTTAGTTACTTCAGAAAAATTTGGTTCTCTATTAGAAAAAAATAAATTGCATGGAGCTAATTAAGTATTATGACTCTTCTTTCCATTTACAAACTGGACATTGGATCTAGATAGCAGATCAAAGGAGCACTTCATAAACACTTGCATGTTTCTACACAGTATCTTTTCACCTAAATCAAAACACACTGCAGTTGCATGACAAATTATAAACAGGATTTCTTTAACCTGAAGAATTTATCTTCAATACCTCCCTCACAAACAGTCATTTAAAGATCCCTCCTGCTTTTAAGTCCAGTTTAGACTGTAAATTCTAGGAAAGAAATCTCAAAAGAAACCTACATACTTAGAATAGTACAAATAACAAGTCACAAATCTTTTTACCATTGTAAAAAATACTTTTCTCTATTGGTTCCATGAACTCCATGCCAAGAATGCGTTCCAGCAGCAACTTGTCTTTAACAATATAATCCATTTCTTTATGTACCTGTAAGAGAAGGAAGAACATTACTTCTTGGTTTATGACTTTGAAGAAAAAGTACTTGTTGCAAAGTGAAGTATGGCTACTTAGACTTCTATAAACTAAAAAAAACCCACTGGTCTAATTCCAAGACAAAAAGAACTACATAAAAAAAGGATTTCAAAGCAGGCTGCAATGTCAGACAGTACTCCAATTTTTTTTTTGAATGAAGTACTGTTGTGTTTGCCATAAAGTCTTTAACAACAAGTCTTTAAAGAGAAGTTACAGTCTTTCAGATTTACAATATTTAGTCTCTACTTACTGTAACCTGTAACTCTATTTTCCTTAATATAGTAATGCCAACATACATACGTGATCAATGAAAGAATTAAGAAATTTGTTCATGGTGTTGTATGCCCTTGTGCTTTGTTCAAAAGTATTTGCAGATGAGCCCAAAAGCCTAGCAGGACCACGTTTCTGAAATATAACAGGACCATTACTTCAGTGGAAAATTTACAAATTTAAAATACCATTTACAGACTATAAATCCCTCACTTACGCTTGTCAGGGTTTCATGAATCCTGTCATAGTGCAGTCGCATTTTTCTGGAAATGGAAATCTGAAATGTCTGGCCATCTGTGTTTGGTACCAAACCTCTCTGACTACATAGATTTTCCTGTACAATTAAAGCAATTCTAAATTACCATAAAGAATGCCATTTATAGATCAAAAACAGTCAAAAGCTTTTCATTTCCTCACTTTCATGTACACCCAGTACTTTATATCTCTAAATATTTAAAACCACTGTACTCCATTACAGCAAAATTTTCTTAGGACATGAAATTCTGACCCCTGCTGTCACAAATTCATATTCCTCTTTTTGCATTTGTTAAGTTCATTATTTCCTAATACACCTTTTGACATTCACTCTGAAGCATTTTCTTTTATGTTTATCAATGATTCTACTTTGTCCTGCTTTTTTTGTGCTTTGGATTCCTGACTTTTTCCATGTATTTTTCAGGTCACACTTAATAAATCTCAAAATACATGAAAAAAAAAACTTTTCAAAGCAGCAAGAACTTTATATCTATGAAGCCTGAAGAAGTAACAGAGAAGAGGTAGTGAAGAAGAAGAAAGAAGAGGTAGTTAAAAGAACTACTGAGTTATGTATTTACACACCAACAGCTGGTATCTTTTAAGTATCATAATTTGGTGCAATGTAATGCACAAGTGCAGACCCATAATGCAAGGTGTGATGATTTTTAAAATAAAATAATTAATTAGAGCAGGTATAAACAGTAATACTATTACTTACTGCTTCTCTCTTTAGATTCATATTCATTTCTTCCATGTTGGTATCTGCATGTCCATGGACTGAGCGACCGTGGATATAATAACCAAAGCAGCTGTGTGACAAGAGAAACACTGAAATCTAAAAGACATGAGGGAAGAGAAGAGTACTTTATTAAACATTATGATTTTATTTTTGAACTTCTGAATTCACTGTAGCTATCAGGAAGACCAGCCCTTCTTCAAAAAAAAAAAAGCAGGCAGGCACCAAAATAAACATGACAGACAAGTATTTAATAACTCTTTTACTGATCAGTTTTATTTATGTTTAACTAGAAACACACACCAGCTCCAAGTTTAGTTTACCAATGGCAAGGGTCACCACTTAATTCCAATGGCAAAATGCATGAAAAAGATGATAACTGTCCAAGAGGGACAACCACAAAGTTCCATGGTTGAGGGACAACCACAAGACAAGAGCACAAACTGAACATAAACATATTAAATAAAGCTAAGATAGCTGGTTTTGTAAGACGGAGATACTGAAATGCAAACCAGCAGACAGAACAGCAACAAATATTTCCATACCTAATTTCTGCCATAATTTGTTACTTTGTAATTCTCTATATGCATATGTAACCATGTGAACTTCAAAAACGACCTAAAAATCATACCCCTAGAAGAACGTATTGATACCTATGGTTCCAGAATCTTTTTCCAGTTCAAAGTTTAACTGCAATCTTCTTGTACATTGCCCCAATAAAGTGAACAGAATGAAACACTGACTTTGGCTGTTAGTTAGTAATCTGTGATTAAATTAAATGAATAATTGTTTAAGATTCTTAAAACAACCTTATGTATTATTCTATGAAAAATGCCACTGTACAAGTGAGAAGAAAAAATACTTACATTGCTCATGCAACACAAATCAACAAATTGGCTTATCTTATCTTCAACAAATCTTTCATACAACACAGAAAAAAATAGAATCTGAAATACATCAAACAAATTTTCTTCCATTAGTTAATCAGATTTTACTTTCTTAAGCACTTAACTTCTCAGTTTAACACACACAGATTACAGACTTCTCTATTAGCCACCGTTGCATTGGGATTTACATCCCTCCTCTATGAAGTAAAGTTGTAACAACAACTTGCTTTTCATTTTTGAACTTGAAGATGCTTCAAAGTTGTTTAAAACAAAACAATTGCATCTTTGAGAGGATTAAAATTTGGACTACAAAGTAAGATGTCTTATAGCTCAGAAGATTAATGTTGAGTACTAATGGTGTACCACGCTGAAGCAGCTAAAAATATAGATCAAGTAAAACAGTCAAGGGTATACCCAGTGCTATGGTGTGTAGCATGAATGGCCTAGTGATATCTTCCAGCTTCCAAGAACCACCCTGAAAATGCTAAGTCAGTATGCCATGTGTTTCACACACCTGTAGGAAGGCAATGGCTAGCCAGAGTGCAGCAGACACACCAAATCTCAAAACACGGCTCCAAGGAGCTATATAACTCTCACTGCTTCTTGTGAGACTGGAAGAAGAATCCATTAAAGCCAGGTTTGAAAATCCCACCACCTGAAGATAAGAATGCCAATAAAACAACATGAGGCAACGAACAGTATTAGTTATAACCCTGTTGTTTCCACCATAACAGGAAGCAAGAAGAAAAAATTAGGAAAAATGGACCTGGGAATAGTAACATGTTCACTATGATAGAGCCCAATTATGTGATCCAGTGCTATTCTTGTAATAAAACCCATAAACTTTATGTATATGTGTTGATATATAAATTCAAACCATATACAGCTAAATCTCATGGAAAGTCAATATTGATTTTTACTGTAAAACTCCAAAGGACTTTACTGTTAGACTGCATAGAGATATATTTTTTGCCAAATTTCAGCTTTTCAGTCCCATATATTCCAGTGTTAAAATAAATTTTTAATCTGTTTTGCAGCTGCAAGAAATTAATTTTTTTTGTTTATATTGAACAGAAATATATTTCCCTCTGCTGCCTTTGTGGCAGCATCTATTTTAAACAAACAATTCAGAAAAAGTACCCTAATAAAAAAGATGAGATAAATATTTGAAGTAATTTAGAGGTGAAAATTATGTGAAAATCCTTCAGAACTGAAGCTGCACCAGAATCGTATTTGTAGTGGGTTGACCCCACCACAGTGGGATGTAGAACAGGAAAAACAACGGCAAGAAAACCTGCGGGTCAAGATAAAGGCAACTTAATAAGCAAAGAAAATGGAAGAAGGTGGTGAAAAGACCCTCGATGAAAAGTGATGTGAAGGCAATCACTAACTACTTCCCACAAGTAGATCAGTGCCCCAGAAACTCCCTCCCCTCCATTTTTATTGCTGAGCAAGATGGTACGTGGTATGGAATACCCCTCTGGTCAGCTGGGCTCAGCTGTCCTGGTTGTGTTCTCCTCCCAGCTCCTCGTGCAGCCCTCGCCTCTTCACTGGGGACCTTGACGCTGGGCAAGTGCTGTTCAGCAACAGCCAAAACATTGGTGTGCTATCAGCCCTGGCTTTGCCACAAATCCAAACCGAAGCACCCTGTGGGCTGCTACAAAGAGAATTACCTCCATCCCAGCCAGACCCAGCACAATATTGAGCAGCTCAGCTTTGCTGCCAGGGTGCTATCTGCACTAGCCATGTAGTACACGCTCATGGTGACCGGTGGCTGTTTTGGTGCCAGACATGAGGCCTGAGGCAACGGAGGCTCCTCCTTCTATGCTTTCCAACTTCCTCCAACTATTATTTTTCCTGGCTTGTTTTCTCCTACTGTACAGCCTGTCATCATGCTCAGTGACAACTGAACAGACACTTTATTAAAATTGCTAGCCCAAGAAGACAGGTTTTGAGCAATACAGAAGTTCCCCTTGTAGTGAGCAGCTGATTGTTTTATCTACCCCGTGCATGATACTTCTAGGGAAACAACATTCCAAACTCCAGCATGACAAGGAAAGTTATAAACATTATACGGGGTTTTCACAAACACCAGTTTTAGCCTATTTATGTACCTTTCATTACTTCCTCCAACATCAGAGGCAAGAAAGTGATTCTCCAGAGGGAAATTCATAGCAGGAGCTATACAGTAAGATGAAAATCACTCTCTACTGAGAATAGCCTCTCCCTTCTAGAAATACCAGGAGGATATGAAGAGCAACCTAGGAGATCAATTAGTGTTGGGAATGCACACTCTCTTTTCTCCCATTCCTTCCTATTAACATGGCATCTAAATTGGTTCTGGTTTGTATTTACCAACAGTTAAAACACTGATGTAGTGAATGAGCTACGTTTGGGGACTTTTTATTGGACTTAATCTAAAAGAAAAATAGGGAATTTAAAACCAGAAATATAAAGATGAATAAAAGTATTAAAAAGTTGTAAAAGAACCTCACAGAAACATGTATATATATATATATATGTATATACACACACCATGCTTTAAGAATACTTCTCAAAATAAAAGTACTTACCAAACTACAGAAGAAACAAACCAAAATGTTTTTTGGAAAGCTAAAGCACAATTTCTCACATATCCTTAAGCTGTAACTGAAGGCATACTGCCTTGTGTTATGCCATCAGGAACAGAACTGGCATATTTCATTTCCTGCTTTATAAAAGGTCACTGCAGCAAATTAGCAGGAAGGAGGCTCAGTTCAGATGAATATGAAACCAGAAATAAATCTGTAGACTGTGGCAGAAAGGAGCCAGTAGGCAAATAAAGGATTGAGTGTGTACACAGATTTATCAGTCTCTTAAGGCATTCAGGGTAACTCATTACCCTAAAAAAACCCAAACAAAACTAGCAAAGGTCTCTAAGGTAATTAAAGGTTGGTTTGGTTTTTTTTTTTTGTCTTCCTTAATGAGATGCTGCAATGACATATACATACACACAAATAATTAAAAGTTGTATTAAAATAATTAATTTACTAAGTTGGATAGTTTCAAATGAACTTGAAGGTCATCCTCTATTAACACAAAGAATGAAAGAATTAAACCCCAGGCCCTCATATTACACTCTAGTTGTGAATCATAATAAAATTAATAACAATAATAATTGTAGTGATAATACCTCCAGAAAAAAAAGAACTGCAAGCACTTGAAAGAGGGGATTTATCTTCCTCACTGTCTGAATTTCATTCCATTCATTTGCTATAAAATATGTCCTCCATATGCTCACAGGTGCAGCAGCACTTCTAGTAATACCTTCACCTAAAACAAACACATAAAATAAAGCTCTGAAATTTAATACTTGAGAGTAATATCTGAATGTAGCCAAAACTCTTTATGCAAACAAGCATAGTTTAAGTTACCTTCAACTGCTTTAAGAACTTTGCCCTTAGGTCTTTCCCAGTCAATAAAGAAAATATCTATAGTGAGTTGTGAAACAAGCAATTGTAAGAATTGCAGAGCCTAAGAAAGAAAAAGGGGAAATATAACAAGTAAGAACAGTAACAGCATATAAACAAAGAAGAAGAAATAGTCACTGCACGTGTCACTCATTAAACGTAACAAGTAATAGACTTGAATATGCTTAAGACTGCAATGTGTTACCAACTTTTGATACTCTTTTTTTAATTTAAAAGCTTGGAATAATAGTAAGTCATGTGATGATGTCCAAAATGATGACGAATATATAGCAAAGTTACAATTTAAAAAAACCCCAAACTATTTTCCCTTAACATATTAACCTCTATTATGAATTAAAATTTAATATAATACCTATAATTAATAAGATACTTTTATGTCCCATGAGGACAGAATACTGATCTCTGAATTCGACAAGCATGTTTTAACATAATTATTTTAATCTGTCTTCTTTTTAATTAGGAACTGACAGCACTTATATTCTGCTTTAAAAGAAAGCACCTGATTTCCTGATACGGTGTTATTTGAGTTTCTTTGCACCTTCATCCTTGAAAGAATAATTTTCGATAGAACATCTTCCTTAGACATTTGTTCCTCTGTAAAGACTCTACCAAATAAATGTTTATGGAAAAATGACTCAATTCTTAGAATAAAATAATTGTTTATGTCTATACACTACTAAAATAAACTGTACAAGATTTTTAAAAACTAGCCTACTAAGAATACCTAAAGCATATGTTGAAATGTCTTTAATGCCTGAGGAAAGAAATACTTACCTTTAAACTAAATGCACAGGCTATGTATGTAACAAAATCTTCTTCTTGAGATGGAAGTGGTAAAAAGACAGAGACAAACTGCTGAGCCTGTAATTGAGAAATGACGTTGAAAATCGTATGAATAGCATATGTAACAACATACTAAGTGCTTAAGAGCAATAAGATAATTTTGCATAATTTTGCATAGAAAGATCAATATTTAATGTGCAATAACTTTGAATTTGTAAAATATTTTAAGTGACTATTAAGCAGACTGCAAGTACAATGAATCCTATGGAAAAAGGTGAATGGAAAAGTTTAAGCACACAAAACAGAATATGATATAGAACTTGCCTCAATACTCTGACCAGAAAGGGGGAAAAAAAGAAAGAAAGAAAAAAAATTAATGCTTGTGTGAAAATATATGCAATATTACTAAGTTTTCATAACACAAATGTGGAAAAACACTTACTTTGAAGAACACAAGCCAGTAAATCCCTGTGCCCACTGCGATGATAAAGAAAACGTTGGCAAGGTCTCCAGCATAAAACAGTAAGAACTTCAAAACTGTCTGCAATTATAAAAACACACTGTAGAGTTCTGTAAAACTAATAAGCAATTACATAAGCAATGCCTATGTACATTCATATAAAACTGTTATGCAGCTTACACTACAGGGAACTCTAGTACTGAAATGTACCCTTGAACAAAATTTTTATGTTGTAGTCATATATTTATAGTACATTCCATATCTGAAGCTCCTACAAGCTGGTCTTTGTTCAAAGAAAGATTAATCTGAAAACCTAAGTCCACTCAGTTGACCAGAATAGCTCTGTACATACTTTTATTTTGAGCAAAAGGACTCTCTAAAGGATGACATCAGAATCTAAGAAAATGCATAAAAACTCTGGTTCTTAAGTGAGCCTTTTTCAGTTGCCAGCTGTTTATACCTGCAAGTCAATTATAGAGCTTCCTGTACGCCTCTTCCAGCCTGCAGTCTTGAGCAGGGACCACAACACTGCGAGCCCACCCAGCACACCCAGCGCGATCTGAAGAGAATGAAAAGTTACTTACAGACATTTTTGAAAGACACAAAATAGAAGTAATTCATTATATCAACAAATTAAAGGGAAATGGAACTTACGTCAGTCTGAATCCGAGCCTCTGACTGATTCATCTCATAATTGACTGAGAAGGAAACCTGAATATGAAGATACAAAAAGTAAATATGCACAGAAATTCTGAAATCCTACAACCATTACAGACAACGGTAGTTTTCACACTTTTATTTGTTAGGAGTTGCCATCTAGGGCTACTATACAAGAACAACATACATTTCTTTTTGCTGTATACAGCTGACCTGTCCCTCAGTGCCAGGCTTAGTAGTAGCAGCACATGCTTTGCTCCAATTAGTGCAGATTTTACCAACAGTAATGCTGGGGATGGGTGCCTGCTATCTGCAAGTTACTACCTGTACCTAATTACAAACCTTTCAAATATGCATAATTTTCTTCCTTTTGAAAGGAGACGCCAATGGTTTGATACTTTTGCTTTTACCAGTGTTGATTAAAACTAACTTTAACGTAATTAAACCAATATGCAAAATCACAAAGTGAGCTCTTGCATAGCTCAGACACTGATTTTTCCCCAAGTACGATAATATATTTTTAATTAAGTCTACTGCCCCAACCAATCCCCCCAACCTTGGGTCCACAAAACATTTGCTGCTGTCAGAGCTCATTCTATCAGCTTATTTGGATTTAAGTCTAAATATGCTCATGGTTACTGGAAGCTCAGTGTTCAGAAAACTTGGAATGAAATTCAGTGTATATTTTCACTAGTGTAAAATTTGTTAAATGCAACAAGACAGGCAAAATTGACATGACTTAAGCACATCAGATGTAGATGTAAAGGTGAAATAGTACTTTTTCTGCATTTTCTGAAAACAGAAAATAGAGAGACTAAAAAGAGTTGTTCCTGCCATCACAATTTGAGTACATTGTTTTCTAAAATCTGTTCCTGTGGTTAAATAAAGATGTCATTTAGACAGGGAAGAAGTGTCTGACTAATTTTTCTACATTTCTAATTCTCTGTCTCTTCTTTCCTTCATGCAGCTAATATGGAATGCAAAGAATGGTTCTAGCACCAGAAATTTCTAGCTAGATGTTCATCTGTACTGGAAGCCTGAATTGTTCAAGATTGATAAGCACAATTTAGTTTTTTTTTTTTCGTAGAATGTTACTGTATTAAGCTCAACATTTTTACCTCAAAGCAGTGTGACCTAACAAGAAAACAAGGCACAGGAATGGGACATGAGCTGTTGCCCATTATTAGCAGGCAGAAGGGCAAGTAGGAAATGACCCTTTATGCATCTGCAGAATTTAGTGGCTTTCAGCAGAGAAAGATCCCCCAACCTGATCTTCAACCCTTCTGGCTACGGATTTTTTTATTATTTTACTTTAGTTCTTAGACATGTGCTATAAAATAATACACAGCAGACAAAACACAGAAGGATGTTTTGGATGCATTACCAATATTTTAACTTAAACTACAGGTGACCTGAAATGTCTGCATCATAACAACCTTCTCTTAATGCATTGGTTTGAATAAAAATATTCAACTTCTTGCATAAATCGCTTTCAGTGCATTGCATAAAGAGTACTTTTCCTGTTGTTTTCTGTGCATATAATTTTAACTGTAGCCTAATCTAGCATTATACAACTCATTGTGAAATTCTAAGTAATTTAAGTTAAAATAAAAGTCTTTTCTTTTTATCTTGACTCTTAACTGCTTTGTTTTAAAAGCTTTAAGTTTTCACTAAAACTTGCAACCTCAAAACTAAGCAGAACAAGAAATTTCTTGTTAGGTTTAATACTAAAAGTATGATTAACAAATCACTTCAATTAATATAGCACACAGGTCTCACCATCACACTTTGGGTTTCAGGGTTTTGGACAAGCACATCTGTGTAAGCAACTGTAAGCAGAGGAGGGTAGACAGTTCCTCGCTGAGTATGGGGTACCAGACGAATACTGCAGAAATGCAAACAGAGTATTTTTTAATACAGGAAATGGATGAGTTGCTTGGAAAATATTAATTAAAACTTGTAGTAATAAGAAAAAAATAAATGAACAGAACAACTTAATCTATAAAATGTCAGTTTTAAACCCAATGACACAGCAATTCACATTTTACAAGCAACCAGAGTGTACAAATGAATGTACACAAATATATAGAAAAAGAAAAGCTGGGAAGGATTTTTAAGAAAATACCTGAATTAATCTTTATGTACTGCTGACATTATGATAGCTGCAACTGAAATCAATTCCAAAAGGTGACTTTTCACAAAACACTGCAGGATGACCTTTTCTATGTGTACTCAGAACTTCTGGCATTATCCTTTTTTCAAATGGGGGTGGGAAGGGGGTTCTCCTGAGATACATAAGCTAATTTTTTTTTTTTTTTTAAATAATGTAATAAGTAATTCTTGGCAAACGGAGTTACTACATTTACTTAATCTTGGAGATGATTTCTTGTATGGAGCAGTACTCAGTCCTACTCAGCAATCTTTTAACTAGGAAGTTGTGAAGAAGAGCTGAAGGAAAAGAAAGAGATCTCAATTTTTAGAAAGTAATCTTGGAGGAAGACAACACATAGATGGAGAAAAAAAAAGTTTTTCCAAAACATATTCCAGCCGAGATTAACCACCAATAACGACCCTAACAGGTAGTCTCACAATTTCAGTTTATATCTGTAGCATGGAAACTACTATTCTGGATTGTGTAATAAAATAGGCAACAGTTTGTAAAAATACTGCCAAAAGGAATATGGAGTATGAAATGGCATCCTTGTATAGGCAGCAAAATAAGAAAAAAGAATTAACAGAGGAATATTTAGGTCGTTCCAGATGACACTTGTTTCTAAGAGGTGCCTGAATGCCTGCTAACTTGCATTAAGTATACGTAGTCTCATCCATGTAACTGGAAAATAATCACAGTAATTTTAACCCCCACGAGTCAATGTTATGTTTCCTCACTCACTCACCAGAACCAAGGATGGAAACTCTTGCTATTTCCAAGTACACAGCACAGGACTTTGAAACAACATAACAAACCCACTTTCTTTTAAGAGAATAAAATGCAGGCTGCACAAAATCTGCTTTATTTTGTATGTACTATATATTATATAGAATTAAACACCTTATTGTTATTTTGCTGGCAATCCGAATTACTCTTGGTAGTTTTCCCAAGTCATTCTCTTTTCCACTTAGTGCATCCACCAAAAAGAATCGACGAGTCAAAAGCCAGTTGTTCATATTACTGCCTATGAAAAAAAATGACAGTCACATAATCCTAAAAATCTAGTTCAAAACACAAAAAGAATGAAATCTACTAGAAACAATACATATAACTGTAGTCAGAATTTAAAATTATTTATTTTTAACTTGAACAGATACATAATGAAATTAGATTACTTTATTTGTACATGTTATTGACTGGGCCAGTGTATGTACCCAAAGCTTGCACTTAATGCTATCAGAACTTGTCCACAAACTATTAAATTCTTAAAACAGAAACAAGTTACGGTGTGTTGTGGTATTTCTAACTCCTCCGTAACAGTAATGAATACAGACTCTTTTATTTGAAGTTATTAACATTATTCACATTCACAGAAATGTTATCATGACAGTCTTACCTTGATTAACAAACATTTCACTGTATTGAAGATTCAAGTTTAAAACTGGCACGGCCCAAAGATACTGTTGTCCGCTGTCACCATTATATTCAAGGAATAGGTCATAAAAGATTGGATTAGCAAAATCCACTAAAATCTTGGAAAGTGGAATTTTGCACTAAAAAAAAAAAAAGTTTAAAATAAAAAGATCACTTTAGCCATTAATGATTTTATCAGGTTGTGAATTCTTCACCTACAAAATTATTGTGGAACCCATCCTACCTCTTCACAAAAGCATTCCAGCTATCTGCAAGCAATTGCAAAGTAGTAACGACTTTATACGAATCTCCTGGAAAGGACTACAATTGACCAAAATGACTAATGTGGAGAATGAAGCTCCACCAAAATTTTTCAAAAGGTAGGAAAAAATACCTCAGCAAATTTCACTGATGTAACATTTGAAACAGCATAAATACTGATGTCAAGAAACATAAACCTTGAAGACATGGAGTACCATGTGTTTTGCCAATGACCAGGCCAAACAAAAATGATAGCACCAGCAGGAAGATGAACCAATACACAGACTGTATTGTAGACAAGAAGGACATTCCATGAATGACCATCGGGGGTACAAACAGATCGATCAGCTGGTACATGATCAATGCCACCCCCAATGATCCCACAAATGACACGACTCGGCCCACAACGGGTGGTACAAACAGAGACCCGAGGTTGCCCACAGTTGGCACAGGAAACAGCCAGACCAGCAAGCTAAGCACATAAGAGAAAGGTGCCCACATAGTGACT